AAACAACGAATGCCATCATCAAGAGACGCCCATTTGAATATACATGGCTGCACGAAAGAAATTACTGCTGAGAAATCAGAGGAACCAAAATGGGGAATAACTTAAGAGGTTGTTTGTCTGTCTTACTCTAATTGGCCAAAGTTATCCACTCCCTCTGTAGCACTCACAACTCACAAAACCCCTGAAAAGACTTGAGTCAAGCATACAGCGACAATGTGAACAGCACTTTAAATAATTCGAGAGATATTTCCAAGGTCAACTTGGCACCATGCTCTGTGTACAGACAGACAGATGCTTCCTTCCTGGAATTTTCTTTAAAGCTCTGAGGGACTGTGTAGGAAACTGCGGAAAAGCATTGAAAACCATGCGGCAGTCGGCTGGAGTGACGATTTGGTACCAGCCTACCGAATGGCAGGTAAGCCCACTCACCTGGAGAGTAGAATACAGCCCAACTGTTGAGCTACGGAACCCTTTGAAAACTTGGGTGCGATCACCTCCCATGTAAGTTTTAGGACCACTGGAGCGCATTACCTGCTGAGCTAACCCATCTTCCATCTGTCGATAAGCCCGAGATTAGTTTCGACAGCTGCATAGTGACACGTTGGTTGTGCCAGTCCATTTGGAATATGGATTTGGCTGAGGCAGCTAACTGTTATCACCTCCACTCAACACTTCCTGTTATTTTAACATGGGTTTTCTTTTACCGGAACCACTACTACGAACTAAACTCCATCATGTGTCCCTGCTTATCGACACACTTGTGCCTTTCCTTCACGCCCCTAATTACCGTCCGGCCATCATTTTCATTGATTTTTCTAGTTTAAGTATCTCCGCTTTAATTCGATTCAGCGCTTTCCATCTCTGTGATTCACGGTAGGTTATCGTTGCTCATTTCAATTTTCCTCTGTCATTGTTCTCTTCCCTCCCTCCTCCATAAATTTATCGACCAACGTTTCACTTTCACTCGTCTTTTCGCCTAGTCTTTTGGCTTCCTGCTTGCTTCGGTCGCTTCATATATTCTCCAATCCTGTGCTGTGCGGAACCGTTTGAGAATTGTCCTAGTGCGAGCTTGACAGACGTGGCGGCCAATCACTGATCGCTCCAACTTGTTATATTCTCACGAATACGAGACCAAGAAAGAACACAATAGCCTAGTCAGATGGAATAGTATATTTGCCAGGTCGTGCCAAGATACCGATACGTTTCAACTAACTAGCTAGAGGGTCAATTACGAGCAGTACAACGTAACACGACAGCGTGCCAAATGGTCAGGATGCTGGACCGGGTGCCTTCAGCTTATGGATTCCGGTAAGACTAGCAAGACTATTGACACCGAAGTTGACATAGATGATATGATTCTGTTCAGGAGAGACAGAGAACATAGGGACGGAGGGGAGGTTGCAGCATACGTGAAAAGGTGGTTCGGAAGTGAACAAGCCACTGGCACGGCACTGACAGAGCTCCTAGACTCTATCTGATGCCACTTCACGGTCAAACATACCAAATTCCTAGTTGGAGGAATTATAGATCCCCTAATGGCAACTTGTAACACAACCAAAAACTGCTCCAAGCAATATCCACGGTGTCAACTATGGGGTACGACCAGATTTTAATAGCTGGCGACTTCAACACTCCAACCCTCAGCCTAGAGCAAGGTGGCACTACCACGAGCCGAAAGTTCGACTGTAGCCTGCTAAACGCCATCTAAATGGCTGGACTGCAGGAAAAAATCAGCCACAACACCCGCTGGGGGTCAGATGGTAAACCATCTAAACTGGATTACCTACTGACTAGTGATCCCCTTCTGGTTGAAAACGTTCAGGTACAAACCCCTCTTAGAAGTAGAGATCATGCCACGGTAATGTTCGACCTGGTAATTAGTGAAGAGCTATCATGGGAGGGACCTCGCCCTTACCTATGTTACAACGAGGCAAATTACGAAGGCGTGAACAAGAGCCTTTCAACAGATTCGTGGCCAGTGGATTGGTGTTCTTTATCGATCGACCAGCACTGGGAACTGGTAAAAGATATCATTAGGCGGCCGTCCCGCGGTAACAACAACCAGAAAGCGAACGTCGTGGCTAAAACGGGCACTGAGCGCCTTCTAAAAACCAAGAGAAGGGCGTGGTACACGTGGAGACCCTCCAGAGAACAGGACGACCATGACGCATGCATGACTCTGCGGAATCGAAGCAACATAAGGGTGCGGGGAGACAGGAGGTCGTTCCAGCCCAATCTAGCTGAAAGGCTTGGGGCAAACCCCAAAACCCTTGCCGATCCATGGCAAAAAGAAAATCGACAAGCCAAGGAGCATGTTTCACAAAAGGTCCGAACGGAGAAAGCCTCTCTGGGCAGGAGATTGCTGAAATGCTGAGAGCCGCATTTGACACACAGCTAAACATTCCATCAAGAAAGTGAGCATACCAATTGCACGAACAGCCCCCAACGTTACCCGATGTTACTGAGTTACACGAAATACAGATAACTCGCACTGTTGTTCTCGACAAGCTTTTAAAGTTAAGCGCATGAAAATCTCCGGGGTGCAACGACATTCGCCCATCTGTATTGAAAGACTGTGCAAGTACCCTAAGTGGCCCACTCTGCAACCTCTTCCAACACTCCTCGGATGACCGGAAGCTCCCACGCGAGTGAAAACGGGCTACCCTTTCTCGCATCTTCAAAGGAGGAGACAGACAGAATACCAACTATTGTAGACCCATGGCACTTCCAGCAGTAATATGAAAAGTAATGGAAAGTGTGATGGACCACCGCATCGGAGAATATCTTGACACCAAGCGGGCACTCAGTGACGCTCAACATGGCTTCCGGAAGGGTAGGTCCTACGCCACCAACTCTTGACGGCCCAAGATCACTGGACAGCATGCTGGGATCTCAAGGTCCCGGCCCACATAATTTTTCTGGACTTCACCAAGGCCTTTGACACCATCTCACACCATACCCAATACATAAGGTAGCTGGGCTGGGTATTCGCAGCCGGGTGCCATCGGGGCTGCAGAACTACCTAGACAACAGGCAGTTCTGCACGAAAGTCAACAGGGTCTACTCACCTTAGAGAACATCCTCATCCGGTGTCTCACAAGGAGCAATCTTGGGCCCACTGTTGTCCTACTGTTTGTAAATGACTTGCCGCAACATATCAGCTCCCCGATTCCCTTATACGCTGATGATGTCAAGTTATGGAGGGCAATAACTTGCGAGGTGGAATCCATGGCATTACAGAAGGACATCAGAACACTAGAGGAATGGGGAACCAATAACGAACTGGCATTTGATCTGGATAAGTGCCGGTCCATGTTTTTCTGCACTCCTGATCCCCAGAAAACATCCTACTACTCTGTGGTTCACGTCTATCCCTTACCACAGTAGAAAAAGACCTAGGTCTAACGGTGACGGAGAAACCGGACACCAGTTACAATTACCCAGGTGATGTCTCAAAAGCATATGGGGTACTACACTTTGTGCGTAGACAACTGGGTGCCCTCACCCCAGAACTCTTCCTGAAGCTCTACAAAACTTACATACGGCCCCACTTAGAGGTCCATGATGTCTTCGCTCCGCCACAGCTGAAAAGAGGCGCAAACTTACTGGAGAAAGTCCTTAGGCGAGCCACGAAAGGGGTTGTTGGAATGCAACGAAAACCATATGAGGATAGACTCAAAGACCCAGGTCTATACTCTCTTAGCTATCGAAGCATACGTGGCGACTTAATGATGGCTTACAAAATAGTGAGTAACCCAAGTCACGCAAACAGAGCAGTCCTACTGAGTGACCACTACGAAGATCCTCGAAGGGACCCAAATAGAACAGCACACCAGAGGCCGAAAATGCATGTGCATTCACAGCTCTTCTCCCTCCGAGTCTGTGGGTACCGGAAGGCACTACCAGCAGAGGTGGCCTCCGCCCCAACTGTTGAAAGCTTCAAGAAGAGGCTAGACAGTCACGCAGAGACTCACGGTCTACCCACGCACTGCCGGGACACGAAGTGATGTCAAGCCACCCCAACCTGTTTTCTTTCCATTATAACCATTTAAGCCCTTTTCACCCCTTCCACTTGCCATAAGTTAGACTCACCTAAGTTCTTCATACCTTTGCACCCCTTCTCACCTTACTTGGGTGTAAGTAGATCACTCCATTGGTTCACTTTCCCCCCTTTCTTTTACTCACACAAACACTTTCTAGGTTTTCCCTATACTATCCCCAACCCTCTCTAGCAACCAGTCCTCACAACTGTCTGGCAACTCGACATCTGAAGAGGCCAACTTCACCACAGTCCAAGGCAAACAAACCAACACTTAACTTCCTGTTCTGTAAATCAGAGCTATAGCAGACGAGTGGCTGGACCTACTGCATAGGAATCAGCCAAAGATCTGGAGCCGTTCCGCAAGACCAAGAAGCGAGCGCGAAGAAATCCACTGGTTTACACAAGCTCGTTAAAAAAATACTGGAGATATTGGAAGGTCAGCATCAATGCTGAATCTCGTCGAACCCTAGACTATTGCTTCTGGAGAAGTGTGCGACACTACAACCTCAAAGCTAGCCGTGAAGAAATCAACTCGTTTACACTATCTCGTTAAAACATTGGATATTGGAGCGTACCTTACCGCTGAACAATCAGGCTGGAGATGGAAAGAGAGCGTGATACAACCTGGCTATTTACGTGAAGGTCATGCGTCTGCCTGTAAATCCATAAAACCGCTTGTTTCGTACTATCATATGTAAGAGAAAAATATTATAAAACTTTATATCCTTGACATTCCTGTGTAAAAAGTGAAGGGTGGTGGATTTCGAATGTGCTACGTTTACGGATATTCACTACATATTAGCAGTGCGTATGTAGTACCTACGTAGGCACCTGATATTCTTGTATACATCATAATGTAACCTTAGGCTTTCTTAGGTACATTCTTCGAATTAAAATACACTTCTTAAAGTGAAAGAGTTAAGAATCGGGTAAACCAGTATGAAATCTGTCAGCAGCTCTTTTAAGTAACGGCGATATATATATATATATATATATATATATATATATATATAGTGTTTTTTATTGTGATCATGCGCCATAATTTTCGAAATATTACTAAAACGAAATAACATAACGTAAAAGTCCACCATATATGTATTTAAAATAGATGGATTCTGTCCAAAATGCACAAATTTTATATGGATATAGCTACTTCGGCTCTGTTTCGTTAACTACCATGTAATCGAATTAACTTAGGGATATTTGTCTGTGACAATTTTATATTTAGGGTTTTGGGCTTTCTTCATTCCCTTAGAAAACTCTGTGTGCGAGCCCTAATAAATAGGCATACGCCTAAATATTTATTTTACTACTGTGGCATTCATGGAATTGAATGCTTAGAATTTAAGCCAACTTCTATGCATGAATTTGTTTATAACTAAGCAATTCCATTTCTAGAGTTTCAGAGTGACGGGCATGCAGAGAAAATTTGTGTAGAACCTTGGAAAAAGTACATCGGTTCATGCTGCTACACTTCAAACCAGGATGCTAGTAACGAGTAAATAGGGAGTAGTATTAAAGCTGACAAAAGTGGGTGGGTGGGGTAAAAATTTATACAGTGAGTTTTTGTGAAATTCGAAGACGTCGAAGAATAAACGCGTCTTCACCGCTGTGACCGATTTCCAGTCATGTTGCCAAGGATTTCTAACCATTAGTTCTTGTTATCTCGACAACTCCAAGCAGGGAGCTTACAACCGGCTACATCGTTTAGATCAACAGTCAGAAACTTCATCAGCTGGTGTTACTTGGTCGTAACACTCATCCTTCTTCAGTCCGATCTCTCTTTGACCAACGTTGAACCTTGAGGTAGACAGTGGTTCGGTATGTGCGAAACGTTTTTAAGCCTCCTCTGTCACTGAAGTTTCACAATTTCATCGCCTATCTTGCCTACTACCCTTCATCTAACCTCGACACTGGTCACATGGTGGTTCCACAATGCGTAAGCAATTTTACGAAGACACCTGTGGTCAAAAGCTTCTGGTCTCTTCATATCTACTCTCAAGATCCGTTTCTCACAGCTGTATAATGAGAAACAGTTATTTACAACGCGTAATACTTGTCCTTTAATAAGAAGTTGGATATTTCTGCGGTATCAGAGATAATGTAAGTTGGCAAATGCCAAATCTGCCTTCTGTATCTGAGCTGATGTTTCGTCAGCAACCAACTCAGTGGTGCTAACGCAAACACCTAATCAAGTGAAGTAATCAACACATTCTACCACTTCACTCCCGATCCTTATTTGCAAACTGGTGCTGAAGCATCATCATACATTCGACAAGTGCCAGTGAAACTCATGCCAAACATACTCAGACTTCTGCTCAACGCATCCAGTAGACCCTTCATTGTGTCTGCATCTTCACCTAAGAGAACAGTATCGTCTCCGTACTCCAAATCAACCAAATGGCGTTCAGGGAGTAGATCGATTCCTTTGAAGTCAGACGTACCTAAGCTTAGGTCCATTATTATATCTATGCCGAAGTTAAATAGGAACAGTGACAGTAGCCATACATGGTTATCACTAGTTGTCTTCGATTCACATGACAACTGTTCATAAGCTCTGACATGGTTCTGAGTTTGAGTAAAAAAGTTTGATAAGCATTATATAATTGCTCAATACTCTTTTCGCAGTGTGGCACTGCCATTCGGGTTCCGGATGGATATTGGACAACACAAGTATAACCATAGGCTGGTCCAACTGATTTGCCAAGTGTTCTACCCCATTTTACAGCCGTCCATCCTTAGATGTCATCACGCACTCACCCACCCATCAATCCTTCTCAATGACAGTCCCACTGACTACCCATCATCTTTCTCAGATCAGTTCAATTAATAAGCCTAAGTAACTGCTGAGTATTACCTAATTCTGATACCCTCTCCATCTCTTAAGCATTCTTAACCAATCACTTTGTTGGGATCATTGCGAGGACACTCAGTCTATTCACGTCTCAGCTGCCTTCGCTCTTCATCGTGGTCACAGACAGTTGAAATGAGTCTTCTCACATCTATCATTTCGGATGAGGTTGTGGAAATCCACTGGCTTTTGCCAACCGTTGGATGTACGCTACCAACTATCTCCACCACTGTTTCTACACCAAAAATGAGCATCATACAAGGCTTCATCACGATGAAAATTGCTGTCATGTTAAGATAAATACTCAGCTATCTCCTTTCTAAGCACATACTCGACTTTATCATCTTCCAGTAGAGCACACACATGCTTCACTGCAGTCTATTCTCTGCTACCAGTGGGGCGCAAGCATACACGTGCCTCTACTAACGCGTGATCAAAGTTCAAGCAGCTACTACACAGAGACCGCCAATACTCCACCAATCTTCTCCAACCATGGCTTATACCAATATGATCTATCTGTGTCCATCTTTGGTTTGGTATCGGTGGACGCCAAGTGAGACACTATCTCTCCTCAGGCTCGAAACAAACGCTGACTAGAAACAAGTGATTATCAGAACGAAATTATACGAGGTGATCATCATTGTCAGTTTGTCGGCATCAAGTACCGTAGACACCTACACTATGCCTTTCCTACTTTTCCAACTAATCTCTACTTGAGTGAGTGTTGAAGTCCTCCGCTGGTACTACTACATCTGAACACTTTGCTTTATGTAGCAAAGTTCACAGCTTTCCGTTGAACTCATCATTTGCATCGTCTGAATTTCAGCCGGTGGGTGAGAAGGTGTAGATTACAAATGACCATCGGCAAGTCTCACGTCCCCTCCTAGTTCCTACATATACACTCAGTCAGTCAGACAGCACACGCATACCTGGTTATCCACTGGCATCCAGTCGAGGAGTGGCGCTTTCTGCTCTTCAAAATCTAATGCTTTACCTACACCCCAGCAAGTCCACGAGAGCTAGCCATTGCATCTAAGGAATTTAGAAGATTCATCACACTGACCAGGAGAGGTCGAGTGAATAACCACACTTCCCTCATGTATACCTGTCTCACAAACATATCCTACATCATGCCTCGACATTCCAGATTTTTGGTAGGAGATGCATCTTGTCTGATTCCGCGTATGTTGAAAGCACGTCGAATGCCCCAATGTGAAACGGACACTAAGATCTTAAGAGACTAGTGGTGCCGTCTAGCCAGCTCGGATCTCTACAAATGGTCACACGGTAAGAGATCCATCTAGTTATAAGAGGTCTAATACTAGTATCGTGAAGTGATGGCAAGGGAGCTGACAACGGTAAAGAAGGTGGGTTATACTTAGTTCACTTTTGTATGCTGCTGAAAGCCTGAGCGTCAATAGTACTTCCTCGCCGCCCACACCGTGAAAGTTGTTTCTGCAAGACAACTGGAAGAGGAAGACCAATAGTTGTGTGTCACTACGGGGCCCATGCGACATCTACTTGAGGCCTGTCATGTAGAGTCTTTACGAGAGTTTCGGAATGAGATTTCATTGTGCTAACACAACATTTAGGTCTAGGAGATAAATTTCAGTGACAATACTGTTTTTTTACATCATTTCCATACTAAGCATGTGCAATAAGTGTGATTACGTTTGTAGCCTTGTCTCTGTTTGAAAATTCATGTACTCAGTCTTGTTGGTGTTTAACGCAATTCAGGTTATCACAAGTCTTCTTACTTTCTATCATTATGCACCAACCAAGTACACCCTAAATTTCTAGTGTATTTGAGGCTCATACTATGCATATTCTGCCCACGTTCGTAACAGGAACTCATCGTGTGCGTTGAGTTCACTACTGGGTAGATTCTGTTTTTCGCTAATTTAACAACTTGAGACTGATAAGTTTCGAAAACTGAGGTCTAAAGTTGACTTCTGTATGCTGCATTTAAAATGATGAAGTTTTCTTTAACATGGCATGTTCTGATTTAATGTTACAGCTCCAAACAAATTCAGTCTTATTCCCAACACAAGTTTCTTTTTTTTCTGTGGCAACTCGAATTCTCCAAGCATTTTCTTTCCATGGCATTTTGAAGTTACGAAAGAGTTAAATCTTCAGTGTGATGTAAAGTAAAAGGCCCAAGGTAGCCAGACTAAAATATGGCACCAATGTATGAAGTCTCTGACTGTTGGTTTGAGCCATGTGGGACGATGCACACTAAGTGGTTGGGGTCCGCGGGACAAGAGGATACCAGTGGTTGGAGACTCTAGGTGATATGGCTGGGAACCGATGTCAGTGGTTCAGATGTATACACACATTATCCTCACCTTAACGACGCTATACCGAATCTCATCATTTTGTCATTCCTCTTTTCTTTCTTCTCGTACTTTATATTTCTTTTAACTGCATTCTCTTATCTTCACCCTTCATCTCATTACCTTTCTACTTGATGTACTGTACTAAGCTGTGGCAACTCGGACCGTTACGCAGTAATGCCTAGTCCTATGTTGATATTGATTGATTGATCAAAAGTAAAAAAATACATGTAGGTATGTGTAACCTTCTTCATAAGTCACTCGTGACTTGTGTAGAAAATAGGCTAAGGCGAGATTGGAAAAAATGTTTCAAAGTTTATAAACTATGTAATTAAGAAATAATACTTACACCTTATATGCCAGACTTCGCGTCCAGCTACAGAATGCAAGTGATGAGTTTCATCACAAATATTTGGTTGCAAGTGACACTGAAACAAAAGTTAACTAGTCTTTCACTTTTAATATGTTTAAGTAATTCTTCGATGTAAATATTCACCCTACTTAAGTTCATGTGCATGAGCTAGTTCCATATTTGTGTATCATAAAATGAAGTGAAAATAACTCCTTGAACCGCGTCTTGTAATATAACAACAGACACACTGAGCACTTTCTGATATAACAAATGTCTTTGAATGAGGATTCAGGATCACATATTTTACATGACCACTTGGTGTAGGTATGGATCAAAAAGTGGTGAATCAAAAGGATCACATGTAACGCTTTTAAGAATAACTAAAGACGAAGAGCATCTACGAACAATTTCGCAAAGTTATTACTTTTAAATTGCAATCTAATCTCAACAGTTATCGAATTTCGTGTATTACGTTTGCTTGAATATTACTGATTAGATTTCGAAACTACGAGAAACAAATAATGTAGCTGCAAGCCCTCAACTTCATGAGTTTATCTGCAGTTGAATAGAATGATTGATCTGTATTTTGGGAATTCCATAGTGTAACCGAAACTGGTATATGAAGTGAAAAGGTTATTATTAGTACATTTTTTTCAGGTTTGTGTGAATTCCTCAGTTCTTTTGTCGTTTTTTGTCTAAACATCAAAGTAAGAGTATCACATCTTAAGTAGTTTATTCGGTTACATGTGCTACTGGTTGGGCAGAAATGAAAACTGAATTACATACTTGTAAGTTCCATCATGGAAGAACAGTAGTAATTAATGTTGTAATGCGTACGGACCGAGAAGTCAACCGCAAAACAATCTGGTCTTACCGTGTTGGCGATAAAAAGCAACCAGTAAGTCAAAATCTCATTACTAGCATTATCTATGTATGCAACCTCAACCTGGCTTTAAGTGAACGTGGATGATTAGCTTTAAGTTTCACCTATTCGCTGTATTTGATCTCATTTATCTATCGGTACATGATAAGCGCTGAATATCTTACTAACAGCCATCAACATCTGTCCATTCATCCATTTACATACAATAAAGAGAAGTTAGACTGTAATTGAAATGGAATAATGCATATTAGTAATATATTTTGGGGGGATACATTCCTTACTAAAAAAACCTATATTTAACTGCCCTTTTTGACTGCTAAGGCTACGTAAGAAGAATAGCCAGACACAGTACATTGTGTTTTCCCTGAATTAAAGTGATCCCTCACTGTGGAATAGCAAAAGCAAGGGATTCATTTTGCCTGCATAGTCTTACTAGCTTCATAATCAATGCACTAACAAATAGTTAAACTGTGATTTTCCATTGAACACTTCACAATTTAACAATGGCTAACCCACAGTATTAGAAGTGATATATTTTCAATCTGTTTTGAACTTTTAAGATAATAGCAGTGAGCAGCTTGTACTAATACGTAGTTAAAACTTTCACTGGCAAGTTATGTTCAAAGTCGTTGAACGTTGTGAAATGTATTTTTCTTTATTTAACGATTGGATCTTATCGCATTCATTTTGTTTCCGAAATAGGTTCACTTCATGTCGCCGTTGTTTCTGTCTCAATTTGTTGATCTTAAGCGAATTGAGAAAAAATGAAAAGCATCTAAAACTGGCTGAGTAATCCATTTCTTTGGCATCTGCTTCCTGTCCGTACCGTAAGTTGTATTAAGGCATCTAGAGCCACAGTGTTATTTTTAGAACAAAGTGAGAATCATATACAGTAGTTTAGTAAACAAAAATGTATATTCGGTTCCTGTTATTCTTCATCTTCACGATGTTATTCTGCACTTATTTACTACTCAGTTCACCCCACATTTTCTTTTAACCTATCTCCTAAAAGTGTGGATATCACTATCATTTTTGTCTTATCGCTAACTTGTCTCACAGGGCTTTCATGTGGTATATCAACCTGGTGTAGTCATAGGTTAGAAGCATACTCAACCTACCGGGGTTTGGGCAACCAGGTTGTATAATCAGCCCTCACAGTAGCTATAGCTCATTGTCTAGTGTATGAACCTACACATCGTTTTTCAGGTTTACTTTCTCATGAGCGTTAGCTGATACATTTATGAAATGATCGATACAGTAGTCCTACACGTGGTCAATCGTCACCCAAATAGCTCAGTTGTAACGTCAACAGCTGCAACACTGGATGACGTGAATTTCAATCTCACAGGGGATATCAGGCTCCTCGTGGTTGCAAATAAACCTTGCTGATGAGTGCCAACAATCAGGAAACCTAGGTTCAGGATACCCTGCCGATTGCCTTCAACCCATTAGCATTTGTATCAAGTCATGCACTTTTTGTTACCTCTACTCGTATCTGCAAAAGGTTATTCAGTGTTTATCTTCATACTTCTGCTTTACTTTCCGTCATAGCCAGTCTTTGCCCTGGTATATTTTAATTTTACATTTAAACATCAGAATACACCTTCCAATAGTTACTGTATGCGATTTCTCCTTCTTACTTATGAGCTGCTTTTAAGTTTTAGTGGTCCAGGCTAATTTACAAGTTAGACCTCAAATTCATGCGATATATCATCGTTATGCTTGCTTTAATCATACAGTACTCTTGGTTACTTAAAATTGGTCCCACAGTGACCTTTTGTCTTTTGGTGTGACTACTGAACACTGATTAACTAGATGCATCAAAATCTACCATATTGCTCTACTATTTATTAGTTTTAATGCACATGGGACTCGACAGCTTATGTTTTCCTTCCAAATATGTTAAGAGTCGTTCATCGATGTATCTATAGATATATACAAAAATGGCTAGCTCATACTTGGTCTTGTTATATGCGGTGTATCCAACAATCTGATCAGTATTTGTAACAACCAAGTTTTTGCTTGTTCATAACTTCCTCTAAAAAATCACTTTCCTGTAAACGTAGGTTTTATAAAAACCCGATGAATAAAGACTTTGCTTAAAAGGCCAGATGTGACTGTCTTCAACGCTGATTATTTTCATAAGGTATGAGAAATAGCATCCTCTGCATTGGAATTTGTGTTACGGGTGACTGGTTCGAAACATTGCTAGTTAGACTGAACTAAACAGTACTTGGTTGTCGAGATTCTAGGTACCTATTGTCTCAGTTGACTGGAACTCATCTTGATACTGTCTATCAGTTGTTCACAAGGTTCCTTCACTAAATGTATAAGTGTCCTACCTTTTAGCAGGTCAGGAAGACTATTTATGATAATGTTTATTCTCGAAAGTTTATATTTCATGCTTCCAGTCTCATATTGATTCTATTCGGATTTTGTGTCTTGCAGTGAAATTAGAGGTGGGTCTTATGTTCAGAGTTCGAGGCGAGGTCTGTAAGTTGCGCAACAGTTGTAAACCTAAACTGACTGATTGGACTACGATGTGATCCAAGACTGAATGTTAGCTGTAGTATGGTTTAGTTAGAAAAAGGCTTAATATGGTCAGAATAAGGGATGGCACTGATCCATGACATCTTTCTCTACCGGTTTAAGGTGTGGAGAGAATTTTGGGCTGTATGATGCATTTATTTGAGGTGCTGCGAGTCAACGATCGCATACTTCTAGGGACATCTGGCAGTCAACTATTTATTCTTTATATTTATTTATTTGTTTACTTTATACCTTTATCAAAATTCTCAGAACCATGTTGCTTTTGATAAGTGTTCCGCTCACCTGTTCTATCTTTTTGTCTCCTGTTTATTCTTAATTCCCTGATTTCACGTACGTGGTGTTGTGGTCTATGGAAATGAGCTGCTGTACTTTCGTGTGAGGTTCTTTGATTTATTGATCTGGAATCTAACCACTAAGATATTTGTTTCAAGCTATGGCACTTGTATAAAATATTTCACTTGGATTATCAGCCAAAACTTCGAAGAGTTCTTTCGTTCGCTTTGATCTGAACATTAGGGCTGCAAAATACAACACATTTTTGGTTGATCATTACATATAGTAGTCATATTCATTTCCATTCTTTCTTGGCTTTTAACGAGTTTGTACATCCCACATGCTACGAATCTGTCTGGAAAGATGGCGCTGTTACTCCTGTTCCCTTTAAACTATAACTTATGCCTGGAACTTTTTTACTTTATTTAAGTTTTTCATCAGCCAAACCAGATTATTGATTAGGAAACCAACCATACTTCCTTTTTTAATGCTGTTAGTTTCATTAGATGATGTTTAACTTCTTATCGTTACTTAAACAGCACGCAAACGCATAAGAGTGTCTTCCTTATAACTTTGGGTTTTTAGGTTTATATATCTCTAGTATATGAAGCTTGTTGCATGTAGCGTCTGTAAACCCTTAGATATGTTCTCCCCAGCCGATAGCTGCTACCCTAAAGTGCTGGCAGGGTTTGCATATCACATCGACCTGACCAGCTACAGTGGGTGGAACGCTTGTTCCCTCGAGGTTCCTACCATACCAGGAAGGTCTGTTGGATAGTAGTAAGACAAAAAGCGGTCACGGTTGTATCGTAATTTGCTACACTCCTCCCTCGCCCATGGTCTTCCGGTGCCGGTGGTATGGGTTCTCTCTATCCGGCGTTAGAACAACCAAACCTCAAAACAACAACCCGTAAGAGGCTTTGTGTGACAGGCTTCAAGTAGATATCCTATGGGCTCTGTGGTCACGGATTTTTTCCTCTTTCAGGTACCTTAATAAGAAATATCCTCCCACGTTGTGGGCAGCCTGGAAATGTCAACCTCCCTCACTCTCTCAGTAGTACACAAGACCCAATTAAACATAACCTACTCTCGTTAACTCTGTCTTTTCCTTTGGGTTCACCTCTTGATATTAGTATTAAGCCTCTTACGCCATACCGAACCTTTCATTCTACGACCACTGCGAACGATCAAAGCCATCGAAACTTGATTCTTAGTCTCCTAATACTTCGCCATCGTTTTTATATAGGAAATTCCGACGTCCGAACCTTTTCAAAATCGGACAGCAAACATCGCTCGCCAGAATCTAGACTCATGGATGTACGCTGTATCTCTGAGACACACGGGAAATCGAGTGTGATTAATAAATTGACCTCACCTAGCTATAGTAGTAAATCTTCAAAATTCACCTTACGAGAATACGAAGAACCAATAGTTAGCTTCTAAGGACTCGCTGGTGTAGGCATAACATTGAGTTTCAGAGCTGAAAGTGCCCTTCTCGACTGGGCAGCAGTCAACAGTCGTCTGTGTGCTGTTCAACTGAATGTATCGGTAAGAACTTGGAAGGCTCTTGAGACTAGGGGATGCCTATTCTTAATATCCACTTACTGCAGTTCGAATGATGCAAAGGATGAATTCTATGAGAAACTGTCAACTTTGCTACAAAAAGCAAAATATTCAGGTGTAGTCATAATGGCAGGTGACTTTAACGCTCGAGTAGGGGAGCTGAGCCAATCTAAAAAGCATATTGGGTATTTATGGAATCACATACCAACGAAACCATAACGGTGATCGTCTGTTGGAATTTTTTTTTCTGACTAGCACTGACTTTAGGCATAAGGAGAAGCACTGCCACATTTGGCTCCCGCCGACATCGAACCAGGGATGAACACAAGTAGATCACATTGATATAAGCCATTGTTGGAGTGGATCGGTGGAGGATTGCCGCTGTTTCTGGAGTACCAGTTTGGACTTCTATCATGCGCTAGTACAGGCTCGTGTATATCTGTACCTTATTGGTCGTAGGCGATAGTAGGGCTTATCTATGTTTGACTGGTAGATGAAGACGTCAAGTACGTATTTACGGAAAAGTTACCTTAACATTTATCTGAAAATGACAGTAGCGCTCATCCTGAGGAAACCTGGTGTGAAATTAAGTTTAGTGTAGAAACAGCGGTAAAGGCAGTTAAAAGTTGCACCAGTCCGAACGGATTGGTTGCTGATGAAATTCCAGCCCCGACAGAGAAGACCTGTTTCTCATTTTCCAGCTTGCGTCATCTGTGGCGCCGGCTGACAAGATATCCGACTATTTATTAAAGGATTGAGTAAACTGCGCTGCAGTTCGTTCCATCCTCTTATACGGCTGTGAGACATAGCCGTTAAAAGTAGAAGGCATGAAGCGATTACAGGGTTTTAATCATAGGGGTCTTAGTAGCATCGTTCACACTTAGTGGAATCATCATATGAGCAATGTTGAGGTCAGGCGAAAGTTACTAGGCAAGGCAGGGAAGTCAATCAATGAGGTTGTGAACCTTCATCAGCTGAGGTGACTTGGACATGTCTTGCGCATGCCCAGCCACCGCCTATCTCTATGTGTCATGTTAGAAGAAGCTGGATTAGACTGGAAGGAAGTTCAGGGTGACCAGACCTAGACGTGGTATCAATCGATGAAGTCTCTTACTGTTGATCTGAGTCGTGCCAGGAGATATAGACTGGGTGGTTGGGGTCCGTAAGACAAACAAAAGAATCAGTGGTTGAGAACTCTTGGTGATCTGACTGAAAATCGGTCACAATGGTGCAGATGTATTCACGTGTTGACACCTAAAGCTTGAATATTTGCACTAACCATTATTTTCAGACTGTCTATTCTCTCACACAACTTCGTCTACTTTGACGTGATTCTTTTCTATCCACCTGTTCTTTGTGTAATACTGTGAAGTGTGGCAACTTGAGGCGATGAACTTGTGTGCGAGGTTCTACGTTGATTTTATCTGTCTGTGTATCTGTC